GTATTAAAACTAACTCTCAGTAGTAACCTTATATGTTATAATATAGCATATGAATACATGTATGTTGCTATTTTCAACACAGTTACATTTTAACGTCAAAATGATATTTCAATGAAATGGATAGGAAATAACTGTCCTCGACTACATCCTTGTAACTGAAGGTTCTAGAAGTATAAGGGCGCAGAAGTTGAAGTATCTACTGGTTAACCTAATACTAATGACGTCGCGTTCTATTATTCCCTAATTACGCACAATTACACTTCCCTCGCAAACTCATTGTTGCTAATTAGACTCGTTGAAACTTACTGTAATCAGTTAATTACGTGCATCGTGATGTACAGTCAGCTGCATAAATATCTGTACACAATCAAATCTTTCCTCTTCTTACAAGCTGTCGACTCCGCCCGCGGGGGATTTAAAAAACTTTATAGTTTTAGTTTAGGAATTATTAATTGGAATCCTTTGACGCGAATGACGTGCTTTCGTTACAAAGTCAAGTGTCAGAATGAATAGTGAGTGGACATAAACATAGACATTTTAGTAAGGCTAGTCCTGCATCAATACACTGGCACATTTTCGGATTTTCTTCCTGACAATAGATAGCCTGCATGTTCTTCCAGACTATGTTAAACATCTGTAAAATTGAAACCGAAGGCATAAAAGTTTTTAAAGATTTATAGTGTATACATGTTTATGCAGCTGACTGTACTCAGTTTTACAAGATTTTTCAAGGCAAGTTTCACGTATTTCACGTGTAACTATTTTACTCCTATTGAAGACCAAAACTTTGTTATCAAATTTCACTTATAAAAAAAGCATTTAAATATTAATAAGATATATATAAAGATGTGTGTCAACAAGTAATTCCTAAACTCTGTCTATCTGGAAAAGCGTGTACTTACTTGTTACTTAAAGTCCTATGTCCCCGTAGAGGGGCAGAGGGCGTCGAATGTGCGACGCCAGTTCGCTATATTATGGGCTCTGCGTATGGTCTTGGGCAATGTCAGCCATGTCAGTAGGGAAAGCGTGTAGGCTACTTATTTTTGTTTAGTTCTACCTGGATGAAGTAACTGGCAAACGCAATATTTTGTGTTGTATTTCCTTTGGTTATAATATTTTGTTATTCTTCTGATTCCTGATTTCTTGATACACATATTTATGTCATTTGACATGGATAATTTTTTTTAATTCATTTAAAAGTTGAAACATCGTAAAATAAAAGCACCATTCAGAAAACTTTATTATTCAGTCTAGTTTTATTCGATTGGCTACATTACTTTTATCAAGTTATTTTTTTTTTTCAACTGGAACATTCCACGCTTCCTAATGAAATTAATATTGAAGCTTTCGTTATTTATTACCCTATTAAAAAATCAAAGTTGGTTTTTCAATTCACGCATAATCTTTTTTAAATTCGCTATTTATTTATTTTTTAATTTTATTAAGAATGTAATTTTGTTTACTATATTTAAATTTATTAGATTTCTAAAATGTAAAATACAGAAATTAATTTAAACTGCAATTAAACCAAGAATAATCGAACACTCAAACTTGTATCAAACATTTCATCTAAAGTTTATGAGTACTAGCGGTCGCCGGCGACTCCGTCTGTGGGCAAATAAAATACATAGTGTGCCTATGTGTTCTTCAGACTATGTTCTATATGTGTACCAAATTTTATCGATATCCGTTCAGCCGTTCCAGAGATATCTGCAAACAAACATCCATCCATCGATCAATCCAAACATTCGCATTTATAATAGTATTATAGTAAGATGGTTTTGCAGAATAAATGCAATAATCTATCCTTTAAATAATAAATAAATAATAATTAGTGCAAAAATAATCAATTATTGGAAAGTTTTGTCGCTAGGTATCCAATTACAGATGTCGGCTACGCAATTAGTAATGCGTCATTTGTAATGCGATCTTATCGGCTGAGATTTGAAACCGGAGCTTTTAAATAAAGTAAACGTGTTTAGTAGTACTTTATCATAATATAGCTGAAGACCGCGACTCCGTCCGCGAGGAATAAAAAAAATAGTCATTGCTTTTACAGACTACTACTTTCACAAATATCCGTTGAGCCGTTCCGTTGATACCTTCAAACAAACATCCATCCATCTATACTTTTGCATTTAAAATATTACTAGCTGTAGTAGGATTAAAAAAATATTTGCCTATGTGTTCTTCCAGGCTGTGTTCTACATCTATGCGAAATTTCAGCAAGATCTATGCAGCCGTTCCGCAGATACCTTCAAACATCCATCCATCCATCTAAACTTTTACATCTTACATATATATATAAAAGAAATTCATGTTAGTTACACTATTTATAACTCAAGAACGGCTTTACAGATATGACTGAAAATTTGTGTTTTTTTTTTCGAATTTATGCTTTTGAACAGCTGCTTTTTATTTAACTTACTAATATTATAAATGGGAATGTTTAGATGGATGTGATGTGTATGGATGGATGGGTGGGTTACACTAATTAAGTTTTTTATATACCCACGAGGACGGAGTCGCGGGCGACAGCTAGTTTATAATATTAGTAAGATATATGTTTAGAAGGAGTAAAAAAAAACTTAATCACCAAATCATTCAAAAATTAGTACGGTTACATACAATTAGTGTAGAATGCTATAAATAAAAAGGACCATTTACCGTTGATTTCCGAAACCAAAATCTCTGTACATATATCGCCATCCCTGTCATTATCATTGACAAAACAGAGATAACAATATATTTACGAGCATTTCGGTATCAGAAACCCACGGTTAATCACATATAAAAACCGATGATTGTTGTAGTTAATATTTATATGTAATAAAGTAAATTATCAAGAAACAACCTGACAAGATGATTTCAGACCAATTTCTTTTATGAGTTTGCTTAAAGTTTCTCAAAAGACAATTATTGACCTTCATAAAAGGGGGTATTTTAATCGTTGCTCGAAAACGTGACCTTTAAACTTTAACAACAGTGAATTTGCACTGTCGAAATACTTGCATTGAAACATGTTGCGATCAGATTTATGGATAATCAAATATTTTTTTTTAGAAACAAAACAAATAATAATAAAAAGCATTTTTAATAAAATAAATAGCTCGAAAGTTACTTTTCAAGGGCTTTGTTTCCTTAACAACTTCTTATTTGATTATTGCCGAATATTTGCTGGTTTAGTGAAAAAAATTACCGTAAACATCTTACTAATATTATAAATGTAACAGATTAGATGGATGGATGGATGGATGTTTCTTAGAAAATACCTCAATAACGGCTACATGGATCTGCATGGATCTCTGAAAGTACGTAGGCTACTAAGTTTTTTATTTCTGCGCAGACGGAGTCGCGGGGGACAGCTAGTGTTTTATATATATGTGCATTACGCTTACATAAATACAAAGGTCATACGGCATATGACAAGAAAATAAGTTCGTAATTAAATTCGCCACCGAACCGTTATTATTTTCAAAATAATTATCTCGAAAAGGCGTAGTTCCGACGTCGAGTGCCCTACGTGTTGATAAATTGAAGGAACAATTAATGTTATGTGCGCTAGTGTGCGTGCATTCGCTCGTACTTACGTAACGTTCGTGTGCATGTGTGTTTTTATACTATACATGTGTGTGTGAGCGGTTGCGTTCGCTAAATAAGCCTGCAACGCGTTTTACGTTTAAGTGAATTAAACAGACACATTTATTGAGAAATTATTTTATGATTAAACTACTTATTTCCCGCGACTAAGTGAGTGCAAAATAAAAATAAAATAGCTTAAGTTACGTCAAAATTGGGCCAGCCATTTTGGATATTACCCGGAAGAAACGCGAAGGACAGACAAAATTTTTTTTAGTTTATGTAATGCAACATTTTAAAATGTTAGGTGCAATCCGCAACTAATTTTTTTTTATTATATCGCATAAAAATGAAAATGATAAGTTTTATTTAAAATTAGAAATAAAACTAGAACCAATAGTATATAAAAAACTCTATAAACAAATCATAGTTTTAAGTAGTATTTATTTTACTTGCTTCCAAAAGTTGTTTTTGAATTTTTCTAGAAACTTCACGGCCGAGTAAATTCACTTTTTACTCAAGGTATCATCTTGTAAATAAAAAAAACAATTGGCAACATTGGTTAGCGTGTGAAGTTTAAGGAACCGTTGTGTGCGGCTATGTGCGCAACGGATGAGGCCCTAATTAGCCCGCAATTACCTCTAATGCAACGCGCACTTAATGATGCACACCTCATTTGTACGACGCGCACTTTCCGACGCGACTGTACCATTGTTGCCCAGAGATACGCTGAGATCCGCTCTTCCTGAGTTCCCCCGCTGTTCCAGGGTTCCCGTGACAACGCATCTCTGTGTTGTCAACTCGTGTCACAAGAGGCTCACTTGTGTTAAATGCGACACTGCCTAATTAGGTTACAATTATCCTAGTTCGTGTACATTTTCATATTATTTTCATGAAATAGAATTGTTTTATGCGTTTGCACGTGCACGACGTAATAAACGAGTTGTAAATATTTTGGTCTTGTTTGTGACTGTACGTTTACTAGCAACAAAGTACAGGTGTGCACAAAATTGTAAAGTGATTATATGTGCAATTATCATCTTAACCTTGGTGTACTTCAGTGTACTCTTAATAAAATTTTAACTATAATTAACCTTCTTGTTTCAATTTAAAAATGTCAATTTGGCATACACTACAACGGGATACAATTCCGGTTTTATTTTTAAAGGCCATTCCCGCAGCAAGGATATTAAAACATTAAAACTAAGATAAAATTATTTTTGAGAACTCCATAAAAGGTATACCAGCTGATAATAATGTAATAAATACAAAGATTTTAACTTATTTTATAGTAATTTACATGTTATTCAAAATAACTTTCTCTCGTAATAAAAGCCAATAACAACTACTTTTCAAAATAATTCCCACACATACGCACCCACACACACTGGCAAATAATTGTTATGTATGTTTCGGTGCAGGCTTGCTGCGTCGAATGGCGAGATTACAATCACGACATCACACGCGAGCGGCGCGCCGTGCAGCTCGACGAGCTGCTCAAACTCTTCGCCGCATGCGCCTGTCAAGCTCTCGCCGGGATCCATCAAGTCGCCGCCCCAGGAAGATGCGGACTTGCTAGCAGATTCGCCAAGTAAGTGTTACTTTTTACTGCTTTCAATTGTTTATTAGCCCTATTTGAAAAATAACTCTTCTTATCTATCAAGATACAAGTAGACCAATACTTGTCTGCCTTACAAAAAGCAAGCCATTGCATAACTGCGTTTTTGGGTTTCCCTATTAAATACCAGTTCACCTTGTTCACTGCGTAACAATAAAAAGATTAATAATACGAGTATAATGAAAGTGACTTTTTTAGATAGAAGGAAACATGAATATTAAAACATACTTCTTAAAATATTGATACTAGTATAACATAATTAATAACCTACACTACTCAATTTTTTGAAATTGCTAAATAAACATTTCATTTTAAAAGTCAAAGTTAAGAGCCATTACAATGCTATTTCTAACTCTTTAACACAATTCAATCTATAAAAGTTGTACGCTCTAAGCACAGGAGCGATCCATTAACTCTTAGGAAGTCCAACAATGTCGTACAGTTATTTAACGTAATACTATAAAGAGCTGGACACTCGGGCGGACTAAAGTTGCGAGTGCATTCGGTAACTGTCCGCAAAGTTGATTAGCGCAAAGTAGGCTCGCATTCGACGTAGGTGAGCGGGGCCTGCGCTGATCTTTTCAAACTTAATTGCGAACTTTGTTTAATTCGCAGCCAGAATAAGCTCGCCTGTCCGCCTTTAACTGCTGCATTTATTTCATTGGAACTTTAGATACTTTTGCTTTTAACAAAACCAGTTTTTTTATAAACCACTTTGTGACGTTCAGTTGAGTTAATAATTTTGAATAATTTGAGTGTAATCCAGTAGTGACCAACTTAATGACTATTTTATTTCAAACTTATAGGTTCACTGCACAAAAAGCTGTACAAAAATTATCGTTCTTCTCATCTTTGAAAAAACCAGACAGATATTTTGGAAAGTCAAAACTCATGGCCATATTTATTGAGTACTCTTCATAACGACGATAATGACAGAGATATGACAATAATATTTCTAGTTAAAATTTTACTAATCTTACTAATATTATAAATGCGAATGTTTAGCTGGATAAATGGATGTTTGTTAGAAGGTATCTCCAAAACTGAACATGATAAAATTTGGCTTAGATATAGAGCATAGCTGAAAGAACAGATAGGCTATTAAATAAGATTATTTTAAGTCCACACGATCAGAGTCGTGGGCGACAGCTAGTCGGAAATATTTATAAGCATACATTTTCTAGTTAGAAAATAAACTATTGTAGATATATTAGTCTAAATGCAACTAAATATAATAAAACGTATTCACCCTTTCCTTCTTCATTACCGTAAATACGCGAATGAACTGAAACTAATCGTGTTAGCCAATCCGTGCCTGCAGCAACCGAACCAATATAAATACATTTAAATTAAATATTAACTTACTCTAAGGCGGCATTAGTCTAACAGACACATGTACAGGAAATCACAGATAATTTGACTATTTTAAAGTTACTCTTAAGGATTTTTTAAAATAAAATAGTAGCTTTTGCATGGGACTTCATCCCCGAGGAATTACAAAACGAAGTAAGTTGCCTGTGTTCTTACAGACTATGTTCTATATCTATGCCAAATTTAATCAAAATCTGTTCCACCGTACTGGAGATAACTTCTAACAAACATCCATCCATCTATATATCCATCCGTTCATCCATGCAAACATAACTTATATTATTAGTAGATTTTCACTAGATTTACCGACTAGTTCTGGTTTCTGAGACCAAAATCTTTCACGAAACAAACACAACAATATTTATTAAACGGGATTTTTGGTCTCAAACTGTTAAACTTTATTTTCTTACTTTTCTACACTGTTCCAAACGGAACAGTGTAGAAAACACGTAGGCTACTAATTACGTTTCGATTTTAATTCAACGCAGACGGAGTCACGGGCGACAGATAGTCAATTATAATGTAAAAAATATTTATAAAAAAATCTTTTATTTTTCGTAATAATAGATGGCGCTGTATTGTCATTGCATACGCCGTGCATTTGTTTATAGACGCGAACGCCGCGACCTACTCAACTAATTGTCTATAATGAGCACATCGATTCTGTACTATTTCCGGCGTTGAACAGCCAAGCTTACACAGTCCAAGTTCGTCCTTTAGCTGTTATATAAAATTCAATTTATAAATTCTAATAGGGTTGTCAAATCACTCTATGCATTACTCCAAAAAAATGCAGTGAGACGCTTTTTTGTTAGACTTTAGGGTTGAACCTTTTGACTGTTGATTTATGTTATGTACCTCAACGTGGTTATAAAAGATTATGTTCTATCCTTAAATATATAACTATAGTTGCTTACAGTCAGTCAAAATCTTTGGAAGTCAATACATAATCGTATTGTAATAAAATTAATTTCTGGTCATTTCTAATAGCGTGTGATAAAAATTGACCCAAAAGGTAATTGAAAAACTATTAAAGTTTTTTCAGATTAGTGTGTCTAAGTTAGTCCTAAGTTTGCTCTATATCTCGTTCCAAATACACATAAATCTTGTTAAAGAAATGTCCTATTCCATAGATTATTTTACATCGTTTTATCATCGAAATTGTAAAATAGTCTAAAATGAAATTCAATATGTAGAACCAATGTTGTATAGCTACGTAAAAAAAAGTTTTTTTCCGCAACATTTTTAAAATTACGAATTTTATAATAATATGTGTTGTGATTCTATTAAATAAATACTCCGATAAAATACTTGTTGAAATGTGAACAAACAAAAAGGATACAAAAAAAATTATTACTGCATTCAAAACACGCTGTATAATCTTACTAATATTATAAATGCGAATGTTTAGATGGATGGATGGATAGATGAATGTTTGTTTCAAGGTATCTCCGGAACGTCTCGACGAATCTTGATGAAATTTGGCACACATGTAGAACATAATCTGGAAGAACACATAGGCTACTTAAGTTTTTTTTAATTACACGCGGACGTTGTCACGGGCAACAGCTAGTAGTATCTAATATTATAATTAAAATTGTTTAAAGGAAAGACTGGTTTTCTAATTTATAGACGTAGTGGTTTATTCTGTAACAGTGTTACTGCTTTCAAATATCTTCCTCGTTAATCTAATTTTGCAGCTGACTGTACCATTTAAAACAATAGCATCTGGAATCCGTTACAATCTATTTATACTCTACGACAAACTATATGCTTTTAATAATTTATTTATTTTACAAATGTTTAGAGTTTTTGATGGTTGAATGAATATTAGAAATCTCCACAACGGCATGGATCTCGCTAAAATGTTGAATAGATGTACATCATAGTCTGGAAGAACATATAGGATGTTTGGATATGGATAGGATGTCAAATGTTGTTTACATCAACGCGAACGAGGTCGCGGGTGACTGCTAATTTGAGTCATTCTAGTAATATAAAAAGGTTTCAAAAAAGAAAAGATTCCTTATACATCTTATTATGTTAGAAATTTATTTTTCTCAAGCATAAATCGTTAATTACTTGAGAAAATGTGACATGTTATTACACCTAAATAATAGTTATGGTACAAAAATTTAAATAGGAAAAAAAAATATTTTTCAGTAAATTGAACAGAAGCTTTATATTATAATGTTTGTACAAACTGTTAACTTGTTTATTGTCAATCAATCGTGTCGTACCCGTATCGTTGCGTATAAAGGTCTGTACCGCCCGAGGCCCGGTTCTATTGATTACTATTTAATTCGTTGTTAGTGGATACAATTACTAAATTACTCAGTTCCTCTCTTTACTGTCTACGATAATTTGTCCGAAGTAAATCGATACGAAACATTTGGATAGAGACCGCGCCTGGGATATATCCCTTTTGATTTTTTATCTAGCAAGGTGTTGATATACGAATTATTTTTACAATTACTTTAAGAAATATACTTTTAGACATTATTAATGAGAATCCTATGGTGCGAATGGCTTGCTTTACAAAGTCAAGTGTCAAAATGATTAGTGAGGGGACATAAACGTCGACATTTTAGTAAGGCTAGTGTTGTGCCAGTTCACAGGCAAAAATTGTCAGAAATAATAATTTGGCTCATACTATTCTTTATAGAATAAGACTGCATGAATACTTAAATTACTAGTGAATTATGTATTCTGCAAAAAATAAGTAACGACTACGTCACAAAACCTGAGCCCCCCCACCGCTCCTGTGACTGACCGTAGTATTTTAAAGACTCCGCTCCCCCCCCCCCTACCGGTCACTTAGTATGGGTACATTCGCTAATATGCAACTAACGAAGCATTTAAAAGATATAAACAAAATATTAATCAGTAAAATTTTATGTAATCATTTGATAACCTCAAACAAGACTTAATTACGGTATTAACAAATTACACGATATATAAAAACTTAGAAATCAATCGCTTTGCCATCAAAGACGCCGATCAAGGGGCGTAGGCAGGCCATCGAACTAAATTAATTAATTAACAAATTAAAATCCATTACAAATAATTAACGCTGCCGATAAAATTGAGAGCAATCGATAAGAGAAACAAAGAGTTGGGCCGACTAGTCGCCCAGCAACTGCCATTTGAATTTGAGCTGTACAAAAGTTCACGAGTTATTTTATAATAGTCTTTTTTTTAATTTAATTTTGATATCGGATTTGTCGAGGTGAACAACTTTACCTTAATGAAACAAGTGAATGTTCATAATCAGAACTCATTAACGAGTTTACACTGCAGAAACGCTTACAAAGACATTATGTCACTTTCCATTTGAATTGTGGAACGGATCTCTTTGAAACCTCATATAGAAGTAGAACACTGGAAGAACACATATGATACCCTGGCAAAGAGTAGATTACCCGTGGGATCTCTTGTTTGACATATTTACTCGACAACTCTGCAGTTAAACACATGTTATTGAAAGTCACAGATATAGAACATTTATAGATATAGATATTTTTCATACTTTTTTTTTAATTTTGCACATTAATATAATGTATTGGATTGAAGCCAACAGGTCTCTAGTAATAAGAAATACTTTGACCAAAAGTCATGTCTCTGTGATCTTTACTCTATGACGAAACAGAGGACTTTAAGTGAATAACAAGAAGACATGTCAACGTTTTATGTCAAACATGCACTAATCAAACTCAGAGACGTGACACCCCTAATTGTAATTATATTCATAATAAAAAACCTTGGTTTAAGAAATGGCATTTCCTTAAGTGTTTTATGAGTCAATATACAGGATGGTGCAAAACTACCTTTTACTTATTTATAATACAATTTGATAATGCCCCAAATACAAGGTAACGTAAAACGTCGAAATTAGTATTGTAAGTTTGCGTTGCGAGAATCGCATCGCGCGCTACATACACGTTGAATCGTCAACACGAGTCGTCTATTCACTATCGTTGGTATATTAGCAACTAAAATCGGCAGGTTCCGAGAACTTCGCCTTCTCCATCGATTTATGCGTGACTCATCTATTATGCTGTTTCTTTTTTTTTAATTATCATCAATCTATGAGTCAATATAAATATTTGTTGTATACGTAGCTACAATAACATGATACAATTGATAAAAATAACAGTTAGTTTCATTCTGTAAAATGGCTTTTTAATTACCCAGTGAAAAGTCCTTGACGTTTATTACTATAGAAGTTTTACCTAACGTTTAAATACTTTAAGAAAACTTATTCGGAAAGCACTTACAACGGTTATTCTAATAATTAATTACAATCGATATTTAAACGAATAGGAATCGATTTACGTAATCGTTAATCGAATCGAGAATCGCGCATTACAGCTATTTTAACAAATTTATAATTTGCGTGTATCAAAAGATATAATTAAATATATTCCTTACTAATAAATAAACTTTTGGTATTAAAATTAAGTTTCTTGAACTGTACTTTTATGTTGTTTTCAAATGATTATTATATCGATAACTTTAATGAACTAAAATTAAAGATTTAATTGTTAAATATGGCGGTCCGATTTATTCATAACTAGCTCTCACCCGCAACTTCGTCCTTTCTTGTTCTTTTAAATTATGTTCAACACATATGCCAAATTTCAGCGAGATCTGTTGAAATGTTCTGGAGATATCTTCTAACAAACGTCCGTCTATCTTAACATTCGCATTAATAATATTAGTAAGGTAATCTTTATTGTTAGTCACCGTGACATTCCACTGTCGTGAGACATGTTTTGGAACATGTTGCCTTTATCGTTATATCTTTCTTCTTAGTAATTATAAATGCGAATGTTTGGATGGATGGATGTTTGTTAGAAGGTATCTCCAGAACGGTTCAACGGATCTCGCTGAAATTAGGCATAGAACATAGAAATGTAGAACATAGTTGTAACATAGAGTCACGGGCAACTTCTAGTGTTTTTATACAAATGAAAACTCAAATGGCATGTGAATGTTGTATTACAGTTCGACAAACTCAAATCTGGATATTAAGGGTTTATTCTGAAAAGGAAACAATTTCGAAAGTTAGTGATAATATAAAGAAATGGTTTACTAATGAGCTTCGGCTAATGTCTTCCGTAGAAATAAACAATGAAATGAAATACCTCCAAGTTGTTAATGTAAGCAATACTGTTTTATAAGAATTGCCTTCCCTGAGGGCTACTGATTTATTAAGTAAATTGGTTGTTTTACGCTGAAATAGATTTTCGACTAATATTCGCGTGTCCCGCTCACTTTGCGTGTACTTTTCACGACTATACGTATGTTTAATGTATGGAAATTATTATCTAATTTATCTAATTTAAAACGATGTAAGACAAAGCTTTTCACGTTTTGACTACAGAAGCAAAAAATACTATGTTACTAATATTATAAATGCGAATGTTTTGGATGGATGGAAGTTTGTTAGAATATATCTCTAGAACAGCTGCATGGATAACACTGAAATTTAGTAGAACACATATGTTACTTATTAAGTTTTTTAACTACGCGTATAAGTCGCGGGCAACAACTAGTAATATATAAGTGCTCAATTAAAAGAAATATACCAAAAAAACTCTAATCCAGTAATTGCTAAAAGAACACCACTTAAAAACAATCGAACAACGTAGTAACATAACGGCCGAATACTCAATTGGCATTACATATTTAAAAATGGCTCGCTTACACGTAACACGGGTCAATAAACGAAGTACAGTCGCGCACGCAATTTCTAATTGTGTCTAATTAATTTATAACATGTATTAAACAATTAAGAATACGGTATCTCGATGCATTAGTTATTGTTGAATTTGGTACGCCGTACATTCGAGCAATTGACTTATCTTCGTAATTTAATTAATGGGTGAGCCTCATCACGCGATCGTCCGTAATTGGACGAGATAAACTCTTACCTAATAATTTTCATTTTTCGCCTTTAATATACGTAATTGTTTGATGTTCATGTGGGCTAATAAATTTCATGTTAATTCCAACCATCTGTCAGACAACAAATGGTTATGATACTAAACAAATATTGGACAATGGATTCACGGGTTAAACCCTGTTGATATCAACCACTGGTAATAAAGCAATACTTTGTTGACTTTAAACAGTGACTTTAATTTATATTAAAATATATGTTTTTTAACTATACTTGTCAGGAATATATATGTGTGTGACATCCCTAGAATATCAGCTTTTATAGACTGACCGTTGGATTCTAAGACTAAATTCTCAGTATTAAACATATCGTCATCCCTGTCATTATCTTTGACAAAACAGAGATGACAATATGTTTTAAACGGAGACCCCACGATATATGGCAGTCTTTCCCAAAGTGGGCGATAACGCAGGGGGCAGGTCTCAAGTTGCGGGTTATAGTAAAAGTTTCGTTTAGAATTCTCCGTTAATATACATATATAGGTCACAATAATTAATTAATTTAATTTGAAGTTATAGTGGTTTTTAAATATGTGAAAATATGGGGGTGCAAAAAAAATATTTATTCTCAAAGTGGGCAGTAGACAAAATAAGTTTGGGAACTACTGATATATGGCAATCGTATCCATTTTAATGCAGTTTAGGTACACTGGAAATGAGGGCAACATTATCATTTTTGTTTTTTTTTATTTTGAAAGCTCTTCAGAAATAAATCTAGTTTTTTTTCTCAGTAAAGATATATTGGATTAACAATAATAAAATATTCAAAGATCAAATAACGAATTGTTCAAAATAAACGCATTTGATTCAAATGCCATAACACAATCGTGAGTGCTCTTTTTCAGACGTTTCTTTCTGGAGCACTTTTGATACGATCTCGATGAGGGACGAGTGAGATGGGGCCGCGCTATTTATACATCGTAATTCTTTCAAACCATACGTGAACATGTTTTAAATTGTTGCTTACGATTAATTCTAGTGATCTTTTTACTGTTGTAGTTTGAAATCCTGTCTTTAATTACTAACTATCTACGTTATGTACTCTATGCTAGAAAGATAAAGGAAAGATATGTCACAGTTCCTAAAATTAATGTAAAGGCAATGTTGTCAGTTCTTATTGAATGTCATTCGTGCCACAATCGAGTTATACTCTAATCAAAGACCCTAAACTGTTAGTCATCAGAGAAATTAGATGAAGATCGAAACGAATAAATACAATAACAATTCATCTGTACATAACAAATGATATTAGCAATCGTCTGAGTTTGGAACACCGGTAAATGGGGATACGATTGCCAATTTACCAACCCCACCTTGTCTTAATTGGTGCCGACTACTGGTTAAACTAGCGCGGGTAGGTAGCAAAAGTAATTTGTCATCGGTTAGCTAAACAGGGGGTGGGGGCAGTCGCGGGCCGACCGCCGCCGCGGCAGCACGTCTCCACGCTAATGACATCCCGCATAATTAGGAAATGCCACCATCAACTGATTACATTAATTGCCTAATAAACCTGGCTATAATTACACCGCCGCTAAGATTTATAACGAACACGTTGGGATGCACTAATCTTTTCGTTAAGTAGACGCTTGATTAAGAACAATTTGTAAGAGTAAAAAATTGTAACATACCAAAGAAAATAAGTTGTTATACTTGATTTTATTAAGACTTCAAGATACCGCAACATTATTTCTAGCATTCAACAATGTAATTTGATCGACTTTTTGACAGACCAACCCACCATCAGTCAGTCTTCTGGTAACGTGGTGGATGGCATTAACCTCGAGGACATTAAGGAGTTTGCGAAGGCGTTCAAGCTACGCCGGCTCGGCCTCGGCCTGACGCAGACACAAGTTGGGCAGGCGCTATCCGTCACCGAAGGACCAGCGTATAGCCAAAGCGCAATTTGCAGGTAAGACTACTGAATAATTTATTTTTTATAATTTATATGACATAATGTTTCAAATGATGCTTATTTGTTAATAAGAGTTAAAGTCGCACGCTTGTCTAGACGTGTATACACTTTGCTTACCAGTAACGAAATACCTCTTTTAGTCTGCGATAAAAATTTACAATCTGTATTTTTATTATCTGCAAACATTGTAATGTCAACAAGTTAACAATTTAATCAACACATCATAGTAATAAAGCGTGGGCAAATAGAGCTCGCCTGTCAAAGTAATTCGCGCCAGTCCCCTGGGGCAGGCGAAAACCTTTTTTTTTCTGTATTAAGCAACGTCGTCACGCAGCCAAGAACAGTTATCACACCAACTTTTTAATATCGTTAATTGAAGTGATTTGTAAAACAGCATGACTCCTTTCATTGCTTACAATTCTTTTAATTAATTACGATTCGGACGGCTTCCGTTTCGGTCGGCTGTCTCGGGGCTTAAACCATTTTTTATTAGAGGCGAGCGCGTGCGTACTTGTTCGGTTTTATATTATGTATATTTTTTTACTCATCATACTTCTATCGCTGAATAAATTTACATATATTTGGTTATTAATCAACTCTATTAATGCGAGTTTATTATCAATTGTAATTAAAATTCGTCATCTCTTTTAATTTTAACAAATAATTACAAGCATTAACAATATTACGAACATATTTTTTGTTGGTTACATTTTTAATTCATTCACATAGTAAGCTATCTTATGTTTAAGTAAAGAAAGTCGTAAAGTATCTTAATTATACCAAAAGTCAATTAACTTGGTATTATAAAAAGATTTTTTTTAATTATTCAAGGAGAATCAACATGGCAACGATAAAACTTTATTTTGATTTGAAGCCTCGACAATGTACAATTTGGCCGTAAAAGAGTTTAATTAAATGTAATGAAAATAATTCGGAACGGCTTTTTTTCACCATCAAATTGTAAATAGTACGCGGGTCGAACCGGTCGAAGGAAATTTCAATCGGCCCACCCCGCCGACCTCCTTTCGTATAATAAAATCATTAATCGTTACTTCTGTTCCAGTTAATTAATTATCTTGCCTTAATTACTTTTTTCGTGTAATTAAAAGAGTAGAATTCCCCTGTCTTTGTCCGTGTCGTGATTTCATTTTCCATTAATTTTTCTTTTGACTCCCTCCCAATTTTGTATCGTTAGGTCGAGTCGTTGCTACACAACGTCTACCCCTTTTATTATGTCAAAATCAACTCGAATTATTAACAAATGAATTACTTAGTAATGATAGTTTCTTGTTTGCCTATTATTTCTTTGTTCCTAGAAATTACATTAAATTTTTAATACCTAAATGATTTAAACATTTGTCGTATTGGTATTATCTTACTTATATTAGATAGATGGATAGATGTATGTTTGTTTGAAGATATCTTGAAATGCATAGACTACTAGTTAAGTTTTTCCTTCCTCGCAGACGGAATCAGGGGCGACAGCTAGTAAGATATCTTTGTATTAGAGGAATATAGATCGCGATGGCTTATGATTTACAAATGTAATACGATCAATGCGCTCTTGGTCATTGCCACTAACGAGAACGTCGACAAATATTGAATTAGGCATGACCTGCGCGCAACGATATTACAATTTTATGAGACTCACCTCTTGTTCAGTATAACTGTTTACTGAATGATGCACATAATTGCATCAATCCGTTGAATAAATTAAAATTTAAGTCTTTGAACTCAATACAAATGTTAGATTCAAAATGTTTTATCAAGTCTATAATCTAACGCAACTAGTGCAATACTTTGACTTTAAACTATACTGGAGTATAATTATAATAATGTAACATAACAGTGGTAGAGCTTAACATCTTCGCACGAATTGTCTCGGCTTGCCCAGTAAAATACCACGACCACACAGAAGACAGGAGTGAAGTGGAAGCAATTCCGCGTTTCGTCTGATGAGTGTGCGTCCCGGAGGCCTAATTTATTCCTCTTTCCCTTCCCACCCTTTTTGTTATATGGAAAGGATGGAAAGTGGAAGTGAACTTTCCGGATGAGAGGATGCACGGAAAGGGAAAATATTTTCTTTCTCTGCATCCTCTCCTCCGTCGATTAAAAGTAGGCAACGCATATGCAATTGCGTATGTCTATGGGCAACGGTCACTTCGCTATTTCAGCGATTTCAGGTGGTCGCTCGCTCGTTTGCCACATTATGACATAAAAAAAAACCATTTGCAAGAGAAGTATTCACTATACTGGTCAAGAATCCAAGTGTGACATCCATTCTAACATGTGTTTATTTAAAGTCAATAAAGCAACCGTATCCATTGGTTATTCTACAATACCATACCATTTTGGATACACCGGAAATGGTGGGGACAAAAACTCGAATAACTACAAAAACTATGATGTGTTAAGTTATATTTGTTACATAATGATTATATTTGTAATGTTAAATAAATAGGTTTAAAAAGATGAAGTGTGCGGCTTTTTCTCTTCTATACAGCTAAACCGTCCTCCCGATTGGAGGTCGGCAATTGTACACTGGTTTATTGGATTCTAATATAATCTGTTACCGTCCCCAGTGCCCTGGCTTCGCAGATGCTAGCAGCTCAGCTGTCATCACAGCAACAAAACATGTATGTGTTTTGTTTTTATATTCCCTAACACGCAGTGTCTACCAAATTATCAACATTACAGCCAACTTTATCATTTATAGTCAATTGATACTTTTTAAGTAAGCTAAGTTATGCTTAAACTGCTGATAAGTTGGAAGACACGCGACTGCAACTTGCATTAAGCACACGCTTTAAGTCACACCGTGCGCAGGCGCAGCCTGTCTTTAAATCAAAATGTTTCAACGCTATTAATAATCTTATCTCGATCATACAGCGGGGATGTACACAATTATATGTAATTACCATATTTTTGGAGTTCTTTCTTTCGCTTTCACACGTATACGGTATTTACATACGGATAATTAAAGTAGGAACGTCGTGGATCAGTACCGATGTTACATTTTGATGTTAAGACAAAGGTGTATGTACATCATGTACATTGAAGCGCCGCCGCACGCATCATGAATTATCGCCGTGAGACTTTTATCTAATATGTTATTGTGTCTACATTTCTAACTCTCCATCTAATCTGGCATGATGTATTATTTCATTACTCTTTTTTATTATTTTTCTTACTTTCATTTAGTATACGTTTTGCGCAATTTAAAGCCAGGGCATTGGCATACGTTACCTTTCGCCTCTAATTGAATTCATTTTATTGTTACCGCGTTCGGTATTAATCAAACTGATTACTCCGCCGGCCTAAATTGCCTATTGTTTTTTTTTATTCTCCGTCGCTATTATCGTTAACGCCATGTCAATGTCCTGTGTTTCGGCTACGTACATTTGTATCAGGGATGAGATATCGTCCGTTATATCCCTCTCAAAGTTTTCGCTTTAGTTACCGTGCGTTCGGTTCGTGCAAACGAATTTATACGTTTACCTCTAACGATACAATTTATGTTCGATACAGATTTGAGAAATTGGATATAACACCAAAAAGTGCGCAGAAAATCAAACCGGTGCTCGAACGTTGGATGAAGGAAGCCGAAGAGAGGTAATTATCATTGTTTGAGTGAACTTGTGCGTGGTACTGTACCGTGTCGTGACACATTTGGCCCTTGATTGCTTAGCAACGATGTAAACATTTCTCAAATCTGGACTAACTAAGCTTCTATCGGCTAGGTTTTCTTTTTCACGTCCTTTAATGCTTCTCCCCATTACTAACATATCGCCGTGTTTTGTTTTTCTTTGTGTTTTCATGTGATTATATTCCACGGTGCTACTTAAAGCATTTCTGTTTATTACATTTTTAATATTATTCACGTGTGTTTGAGCATGGCTTGTATATGTTAACTGCATGTTGTAACTTAATATTCTAGTTTTAGTACTAAGTTATTTACTTATAATGTATTTAAGGAAACTTACGTGTAAGGAATAAGCTGATAATTTTAAACCGTTTGCTTTTTGTAATATCATTTAATATCAGCTAATGAATGATTTACCGATTAATTTAATTTAAGCAATTACGCGTTTCGTCTGATGAGTGTGCGTCCCGGAGGCCTAATTTAGTCCACTTTCCATTCCCACCCTTTTTCTCATAAGGAAAGGATGGGAAGTGGAAGTGGACTTTCCGGATGAGAGGATGCATGGAAGGGCAAAATGTTTTCATTCTGTACATCCTCTCCTCCGTCGATTAAAGGTAGGCAACGCATATGCAATTGCTCATTTCTATGGGCAACGGTCACTACGCTATTTCGGCGATTTCAGGTGGCCGCTCGCTCGTTTGCCACCTTATGATATAAAAGAAAAATTGTATAATATTACTTATGTAACGATACAAAAAAGCATAATATGTACGTTATTCAAATTATAACTAAAAATAGAACGTATAAAGATGATGTACCGTTAGGTTTGCGTCGCATCAAATCACCATTCGAAATGGGCCAGGTGTCACTTAAATCTCCAACGACTCCTTAATATTGCGTGAAGCTCGGACCGGAGCGATGATCTATTGATTTAACAGTTTGCATCATTAAAATGCATTATCTGGATGCAACGGTACGACTTTAACATTGCAAATGGTGCGTTGAATTCGCAATGTCCTCCTCCGTGGTAATTTTTAACGAGAACCTCTGTTACGATAGCCCTTGAATTAATACCGATAGCTCGTGCTTACTCTTTATAAGCGGGATAACTAGGAAATCAGCTTTTTTAATTCCATTTAACCGTTTTTAATTTGTCGAGTTGACAAAAACCCTCGAGCTAACGTTTTTTATATTTTCGGCTTCAATATTTTTTTTTTCGATAAATTTTCGTAAATTCTCTGCTCATAATGCAATGCTAATAAAATTTCAAGCGCCTGTCGACTATTTCAATAACTTTTGAAGCTGAATAAAAATTTCGATACAAAATTTGTTAAGTTCAGCACGAAATTCGGGATTGGAAAAAACGAATTACGTAAAAAAACGTAATAGTCTTCAACACTTAAGATTACCGCCAAGGACAATATCTATATATTTTTTTTAATCTTGCATTAATTAATTTATACTATCACTAGTTCAAGATTATTTCTTGACAAAGAATTTCGTATAAACTGGATGCAAAATTAAAAAAAAATAGAGAACAATATTAATAAAAATGAATATTATTAAAAATTACAACATAAATTTTAATTAAGTTTTAAGATTAATTGGTTTATTAATAGTAAAAACGACAGGATATTAATAATTCAAACATCTCATTAAATATCTAAGCTAAGCAATTAACATTTAAACAGTCGCGCCAAGTTTTACAACTTGTATGACCTTCCAGGTTAAGTATTTTATTACCTCTTTCACAGACAACATAACTTAACAGACCTCCTATTTGACTTATTTGGGTTTGTTATTAGCTTAAAGAGGCTTCCGAGGTAATGCGTCGAGTATTGTTCATATTGCTTATTCTGGTAGTATATATATTATGACGTCGGTCGGAGCGACGGTGGCTCAGGGGTTAAAGCACTTGACTTGTAATCTGCAGGTCCTGGGATCGAATCCCGCCATGTACCAATGTATTTTTCCATTTTCGATTTACATATGTACATTTTACCGACATTCTTACGGTGGTGGAAAACATCGTTATGCAACCTGCACATATCTAAGAAGAAATTTAAAGATATGAGTGAAGTCAACCAACCCGCACTGGGCCAGCGTGGTTGACTATGGGCTAGTCACCCCTAACTTATGGTAGGCTCCGAGTCCCTCCGTGGGGATGTACAGTGAGCTGATGATGATTTATTATGACACTATTGTTTTGTTCATATGTTTTTAAACGCGCGAGTACAGCCAATGCAAATAGCATCCTCTCCTTATCTCCACTCCTTCACTAGCTTCTTACTTCTTCAGACTCTGTTACTCGCCACCGTTCTTGAACCGATCGTTCTATTGGGACTTGTCCAATTTGTGCTGGTATATACCTAAAATTTAATTTGTGATCTACTCAAAAAATACAGTTTTTTATATCATAGAATACGGCAAAATCAACCCGTTGTGATGACAATTGGACAAAGGATTAAGCGTCCTACCTAATGTTTTTTCTGCTAACGAATTTAAAAACTATAAGTAAATTATATCAGATTTTAAGAACTATGAATAATCGTGTTAGTTTTCTTTGTAAATTGTTATAACTTATTAATAAATGTAGTAAAATAAAATAAAATTATTTCCTTCGTACGTTATGATATGTTTTGTATAAGACCATAAATATTAACATTATTCTATTATTAGTCAGTTACTTACCTTAACTATTGGTCTAAAGAAAATCTCACCTAGACCGGGGCGAAGAGCAAAGTAGATACATAATAATATTGAGCTTTATAGCATTGAAACAAGGTTTATTTATCTTTTTCTCATCTTTTTACGCTAACTCTTAATAAAGTGCAAAGTAAAATTAAATCTTATTTCAATCGTATAAAGCTCAATTTTATTTGCCATACAAAATCTGCTCTATTCTGGTTCGTAAAATGAGTGACAGCCCAAGCCGAGGTCCCCTCTTGGGGGCCCTTGAGTCCAGTCACTCTATGGAGCGTCCACCTAAGCGATCTAAGAGCTCGGTGACCTTCCAATCCGGTAACAATAACGAAGTAACAGCACGAGCCGAGGCTCCTGAGGGAGTCCTAGAGTCTTGTTACTCTTAAACGAGGTTCTGGCTAAGCGCCATCTGCGCTCGGCCATCTCAAGCCCGGTGAAGCTGTAAATGCCTCTTCAAGGCAAACAGTGCCTAAAACTGGTTCATGTGAACGGACACTTACAGTCGTCTCAAGACAATATCCCTGACATAGGCAATACATAAGTAATCGATCAGACTGAACAAGATTACATCAAATGAAAATTCATTTATGTAAGAGTATTCAAATAAATGTTGCATTATGAAACCAGAGCGAGGTTCATTGTTTCCATGTGACGTTCGTATTATAATTTATATGATTCGTATGAACTTGAAATGTTTTAATCATAAACTTACCGTTGATTTCTGACATCAAAATCTACGTTTAACATATCGTCATCTCTGTCATTATCGTTCACAAAACAGAGATAGCATGTTTTAAATGCATATTTTGATCACAGAAACTCACGGTTATACCTCTAGACGAAGTGTTCGGAACACAAAAGTGAGGCATTTTTTGTTGTAAATATCCCCGCAACTCGATGACCTGTGCGTATTTTTCTTGACAAAGTTTTTATTGTATAAAAAGTTAAAATATTTAGAGAATAATAAACGGAAATGCACATTGGTTTTACGAGTTACGAAGCACAATGTGGTTAGATTTTCAAGATGGATAGACAATCTAGGCAAGGTTGCGGGTTACCAAAGGGCTAGAGGGAATCGATTTCTGCGACTCTCTGTATCCCTTTACGCTAACGCATGCTTTTTGCAACTTGAAGTTTGAGATGATTGAGTTTTTGATTAATTAACTCAAAGTTCATTGCATTTCTATTTACATTTATCACACCAAACAGAGTGTAAGAGACTTTTCTGCGTAGGTACTTAAGAGGCATGTGCTTTTTTAGTTTCCATGCGTAGTAACAAGACTAACCTTTTGTTCTACATTTAAGGAAATATTGTTTAACAATAAAATATGTTTTTTAATGTGTATTTCATGTATTTTTTGTTTTTTTCCAGGTACGCTTCCGGACAGAACCATTTGACGGACTTCATCGGGATGGAGCCAAGTAAAAAACGCAAACGACGGACATCTTTCACGCCTCAAGCTCTGGAACTTCTCAACGCACATTTTGAAAGGAACACCCATCCTTCAGGTAAGCAATTAATAGTTTGATTATTTGACGCAACATAATAGGATATTTACTCTTCCTAAGCGTCCTTTCCTCCGCCAAATCCAGTTATCCTTCATCATCATTCATCCATCATTTCCTTATAAAAAAGGGTGGGAAGGGTACGTAGATTAAAATGATGGCACGAAATGCTTTAAGACAGACATTGAAGAAAATATTTTGTTTGCTTGTATAGGATCTACTTTATAACAAGCCACAAATCGAAGAAGACAACAAAACAAATTAAGCTTCGGCGCTTCTTCATACTTATCTTGCTTTAATGTAACTTAGTTATTATTTTACCTAAATTATATTGCATTTTTCCAGGCACGGAGATCACCGGACTAGCGCATCAGTTAGGATACGAGCGGGAAGTCATCAGAATATGGTTCTGCAACAAGCGCCAAGCGCTCAAGAACACAGTTCGCATGATGTCCAAGGGAATTGTCTAAACCGTACAACAAAATCTAGCAAATTAATTCCATTACACGACTACAAGAATGAATCCGGCAAATAGTGATGGGTGATGTCGATAGTTTCGCTTCAAAAAAAGCACGTAGAAATTTTCAACGTGACACCATTTTTTTTTTTGCAATATTCTAAATAATCGATATTCCCTTCCTATGTATCGTTTTAATCAACATTTGGCCTTAACATGAATCTGAAACGATTCCAGCCAAGATTATAAAAGTAAGCTATGATTTTTTTTTTAATAAAAAAATAATTGTTAAAATACAATTTTCGACTGATATATTCGTCTCGTAGATACTTTTACAATGATATGAGTGGTATGTGTAGTTTATAAATATAGGTGTTTAGTACAAAAGACAAAAGTACGCATTATAATGAACTTATGTAACCAAAATTGATTTCAAACTATTTCAATATTACTATAACGTTTAGGAATGGAATATTATTTACGGCATTTAGCCTCGAATTCTTATTATATAAAGCATAAGGTCAAAATTCCTCAAAATTGTGCACACATTTATATATTATTTTCTTATATTATTTGTTATATAATTGCATTTTGTAAATAAGTACAATAAACCGAAGTCTCGGCGTCAAAGCGAAGTAGATAATAGACATTAATTTATTTGAATACTCCTGATTTGATTATGTTGTTCTTAGTGAATGTCGCACTATAGTTATTTAGTAGTATGGATATTAAGTAGTCAGAATGTCTTGTATTAGTGGCCTACTGAGAGTTCTTTCAAATATTAGTTTCTGTTGATAGATAGGCATGAAGCGATATTATGTATAGATTTAATTACATGTACGATGTCGTAAATTGTATATATTATTCACGTATTTTTAGTTCATTAAAATGTATTATTATTTTTACGTACCTATGATAGGTAAGTCCTAGCTTTTTAAGATATTTAGTAAATCAAGTTGGGTTTCTGTTGCTAATAATCTTTTTTAAACGATTAAATGTTTGCCTTAATTTAAAAAATTTGCAAATTGTTTGTTTATATTGTAAGGCATTTTTAAATACGAAATACATATAACAGGAGGTCTTAACACGTTATAAAAAAAAATTAGTGTGCACATTTTTTGAGATGATACAAATAAAAAAAAACTAATAAAATTACCTCGCATTTGGAAAGTAGATTTTGAAAGATTATATACAAATAGAGTTTTGGAAAAAAATTAAATTATATATTTATGTTTTAGATCCTCAAAAAAAGTGCACACTGAACTTATGAAGTTCCGAAAACATTTTTATTTTTCCAACAAAAAAAAAACATTTAACGCAATAGTAAAGCAAATAATTTAAATAACGAACAACATTAGAAGTGACAGGATCATTTCTGAGCTAATGTAACTTCGTAGTAAGTTTTTTTTTAACAATATGTACGCCTTCGTTCGCACGGACGCTTTTTTAACGCCGCGTTAAAGTGACAAACGAGAATGTCGTTGGCAAAAAATCATTTCGTTTGAACAGCATTTCTATGAACAGATGGAAATGCATTTGTTTTATTTGAACGCTTTTTTAACGCGCGATTAAATAACGCCCGTGTGAATGAGAGGTTTGTATAAATATTTAAGTTGTAAAGCTAGTGTAGGACCTGCTGTTAAGTGTATTACGATAGCAATAAGGCTGTAAATTAATGTATGTTAATGACCAATGAAAACCAACTTGTGATCATTAATATTTGTACTGTTACCTACTACTGTAACAAGAGTCGTTAAAAAATAATATTATAAAAAAAAATTGAACATATTTTTCGGCTGTTGAAAAATTGTAAATACAATATTAAGAATAAAAAAAAAAACTATTTGGATTAATATTTAGGAAACAAAGGTGAAAAAAAATATTATCGAAATTTATATTTTCAAAAATTATTACAAGTGCAAAAAAAAATGTGTATTTAATGAAAGAAAAATCGAGGAATGTTCGGCCATAATCTAAATTAATGTTATAAGAAAAACGGGATTTTTTATCGACTACAACACATCACTACAACCACGAGAAGCAGTAAGGTAAACAGACAATCGATAAGTGTGACGCGATATTGCTTTTATATACATATGTACTTATATTTATGGAATCAGGTTGTTTTTATAATTATTTTCTGGCATCTCAAATTTTCAACAAACCAATTCTATATGGATTAAATAAAAAGAAAATTCTCTTGCTTCAGCCATATGTTGCCCACAGCTGGGCATAGGCTTCTACCAAATACAGCCACAAAAAAAATTACAAATGAAAATCCATATCCTCTGCCTACCCCTCTGGGTTACGGATATGTTTAACTATCAATGGAATTCAGTAGATTGTAACATGTAACACGAAATATAATATATTAAAAAAAAACAGAAAACCGCAGCCGTGTTTAAACTTTTTCCATAATCGCGGTATCCGTAACTTATGCCCCAAATATTAGATTTAACTGGTTATAACTAGTATTCCATATCTTATATGCAATCATTAATAAATTATGTTTTAAACATTTGTTCCTCTATTTCCATTGAAAGTAACGAATCAATAGTTTTTGTGAAGCAGAATCTTAGGATGTTACTCGTGCTAGTACCAGTAAATAAAATTAAAAAAAAAAACCTGATTCCCCACAAACATTAGCGTAATAGAACGAAGCATAGAATGCTAAGTACAAATAATAATTTTAACGTTAAAACTGCTAGTCCCGTTATAATAAAGCTATTTTTAAATAAATAACGCGGCAAAATCGCGTCGCACCACTGGTTTTCATGATCCGCATGTATAATCTATAATAAAATAGTTTAAATACAATTATAAAGGTCTACTACACATAACTTCATCTGTAACACATATTCAAACCAAACTGTAACAATATGTAATAGTGTATTAATTTTTTTCTTCCTGTAACGGTACCGAATGAAAGACTATGGCTGCTGGTTTACGAAAAGGGGCGGATTAAAGGCAGATAACTGTTTGACTGATTGTTTTATTATTAATCCTATATAAATTGAAACGAATCTATCATCAAATTAAACAAAAGTTTATTCTAACCTTAAAACGACGTCTGAACTGAAGGGATTTTTTGTGGGTACCTGATGTTAAGTGGCGATGAAAAGCACCTGATTTGAATCTGCAACAAAATCAAATGAATTTTAGAAGTGCATATTGGATCGAGGATGTGACAAGAATGTGATATCAAAAAATATTTATGAAAGGTTGCTATGGTTTGTCACGAAAAAAGAAATGGAATTAGGTATCTCAAACATTACTTGCATTGCATATTACATTTTATGAAGCACAACAGTCACAAGGTTAGCTTGTAGGAAAATGCGCATAACGATAAACTTTTTTTATAATATACGACAGGATTATACGAAAAGATGGTTGAAACATTATTTTTATTTAATTTTCCCGCAATCATGGAGATTTGACATAATATGACAGATGATAGTGGTGTCAAATGAATGACGTAAACGTTTCGTTTTTCCATTTTGTCGCAGTAGTTTAAGAAAAATCCAATTTTATTTTACATATCTGCAATTTTTTTTTGTAATGATTAACTATTTATGCGAAAATCTTTAGAACTAAGCTTTTGATGGAAGCAACTACATTGAAATAGACTTAAACCGAAACGTTTAGTGGCAGGAAGGATGAGTATGAAATGAAATGAATCAAACAAATCCAATATGGCGTAGATTCATAACAGCGAGTGTATAGTGTAATATTTAATTAAAATATTTACCAACAAGCATGTGACAGTGATTTATAAATAAAGAAAAATTAAAAAATTTATTTCGTCATACAATATTGTTAGTTAGATTTATTTATATTCAAGTTATTTATCATATTTATAATTAAAAACATCAGATTTCATATTATCCGACAATAATAAAGAGCGACAACATGCAAATGGAGAAAAGTAATTACTATATGGGGCAGTGCATTGCGTCATTAGCAGCCAGGAAAACCTCGCTGTGATGTTATGAGGACAATTGTTTTATGGCCAGGTCATATGAATCACAAGGTTAGAGGTTCATTAGCTAGGAGAATGCGTGCTGAGTAGTGTCGGCGAGTGCGCGCCGTTTCGATAACGGAGGAGTTTTGTTGACTTGTCTGATAGGAATCCGGTAGTGAGTAATCGATGAAATGATTGAGAGTGTATCCCGTCGCGCGTTCAGTAGTTCAAGTGGTACATACAACGTGCGCGCATCAGAACTGGCGCGGGAGCGTAAGCTAAACATATTTAATGTCACCGTACAATTTTTGGACGAAACCCAGCAATCGTTTCAAATCGAGGTAAGTTCGAAAACGCTATCATTACTTCCACTGACGTTTAAACTGACGATGTAGTAAATTATTAATGTTTTGATGTACTCATTTGTGAGAAAATTGCAGGCTGTAAGTTATTAATAACTGCGGAAGGATAAAATTACTGCAACTTGATTATAATGCACTGTAATTTGTTTCCACCGTATCCAGTTTCCAGTTATCTTTGTCAACATACTACATATATACAACAAATGTATACAGCTATACTAAATTCCAGGATTAGGCTCTAAAGTTGTTCTAATTATTCAATATTGTTTCTAAATAAAGCAGTGGAAGATGGTCCCTCATTCAAATCAAAGGCCAAATTTTGTAAACAATATATTTACCATAAATATACTATTACTTGTATTTCATTCCATTTAACATTATCTACTCATAATATTAACTCAATTCTAAAGCTTTCACAAGATTATGAAAAGTTCAAATACTTATGACTTCCAAATAGATGCTTTTTTACATTATTCATAATTAGTAGCGTTTAAATAAAAACACATATTTCAAGCTATGTTTATTTTAATTTGGAAAATCTTTTTTCCAGAAAAAAGCAAAAGGCAGTGTACTACTAGAATTAGTTTTCCAACATTTGGAATTAGTTGAAAAAGATTACTTTGGTCTGCAATTTACAGAAAATGGATCACCACCGAGTGCCACAAATAGTGAAATTACGGTAACTTATTTCATATTTATCTCAAAACAAGCTGTGCTTTACCGTTTTACCACACCATTAGTTGTCAAGGGGCATAGCACCAATATTTGTGGCAATCACTGTTTTATCATCATTGGCAAAATTTGTATTAAAATTTGTGCAGCGCCCTATCAGGATTATCTCATAATTGTGACATAATTTATGATGATAATATGAAGGGGATAGTCACAAATATTTGTGTTAGGCTCACTGTACAGATCAATAAGGATATCTCACCAAGTGAGCATAAGTCAAACTATATTATGACTGATAGCTAATGCCACCCAGTCAAAGTGAAAAAAAAGTATGACAATATCCTTTTCCTATCTATTTATATGTTATTTACTATATCTAAGTAGGTTTTACATTTTTTCTGACAGTACTAAATAAAATAGCTTCCCTCTCATGGGGCCAGATATGTTTGTCAGATTGTACTGACCCAATTGCTTGACTAATTGATAAACAATTCATTTGTGTTTGTTTATTGTTAAACATAAATAATTGTTAAGAATAACAATTGCAAACATAAATAATGTAATTTGTCATACTGCATGCATTATGTTTTTAATAAAAAAACATTCCTCAAGATGTAAAAAATAATAACTAAATAAGGTCATTGCATTCTACATGTAATTTGACATAGATATAATAGATTAAATAATATAATTAATATAGGTGTTGCTGTTGGTCCAATAATCCATAGAATTAATTGGCAAAAAAAAACTTATAGAAATTTAAATTACATTCTGGCAGTGGTAGAGACCATTTTAACATCTTCACACGGTGCAATACCATTACCACGCGGAAGACAGGCATGAACTGGAAACAAATCCACATTTTGTCTGAAGAGTGTGGTACCAGAGGCCTAATTTTATTTTTGATTCCCCACCCCTTTTCTTATAAGGAAAGGATGGGAAGTAGAAGTTGATTTTCCGGTGGAGAGTTTTCATGGGAAGGGAAATTATTTTCTTTCTGTGAATCCCCCAGTGAAAAAAACTATAATTTATTGTGATTCTATTTATAGTTTAAAAGAATGTTTAGTATATTTTTGTGCTGTCCATGTCTATAAAAGTAGGGTCATTGCATTTTTATCAAACAATCAAATCATTAACTACGTTTTACGGACTGACATATGTATGACTCGCCAGACAGTGCCATTAAGTTGTAAGACAATGCTCTAAGCTTAATTGTCTTTTATTGTTTTATCTTGATGATTCACAACAACTTTTAATTATTTTTGGGTTACATTTGCACATATTATTCTGTTTTATGTAAATTTGATTTTATATATTCTTCAATTAATTATTATTATATTTTATTTAAACTAAACAAATACTATCTTACTAATCCTATAAATACAAATTTTTTGCTGTATGTTAGCAGGTAACTAAATTATGCGTAGGTATAGATTACTGACTAGAATAAAGCATAGACTACTTTCCACATTTCTTTTAATTCTGTGCGCAGCACATAAAAATGTAAAATATGACCAAAAATTGATAATTTATTAATATACTACCTGTCGCCTGCGACTCTATCCACGATGAATAAGAAATAAACTTAATTGGTAGCCTATATGTTCTTCCAGGCTTTGTTCTACAACTTTACCAAATTTCATCTGCGTTGAGCAATTTCAGAGATACCTTCAAACAAACACCCATCCACTTATAATATTAATATGAAAACTGATTTTATCAGGGCTTTGATTTCCCATGACTAATGCTGTTACATTGTTTTCATTTGAATAATAAAATTTATTTAGTTGGTAATTTTATGATTAATTTTGGTTAATGTTGTTTTGGCTTGGGAGGGGTTCCTTAACGTATGTTTTGGTTTTTACTAACATAAAATTCGTAATAAACGAGATTTTTATCTCAATATCAGATCAAAACACATAGTTCTATATATGCTTTAGTATTTTTTTAATTTTCAGCGTTGGCTTGACAGTGGTAAATCAGTGAAGAAGCAAGTTGGTGTTAATGCTCAATTCTGGCTCGCTGTACGTTTCTATCCACCTGAGCCGAGCCGTTTGTCCGAAGAGTTCACGAGATACCTCCTTTGTCTACAGCTACGTAAACTATTGTTGGATGGTAGGATGACTGCGCCCAAGAATACAGCATTGTTACTCGCATCATTCACTGTACAAGGTAATTTTTATTGTAAATAAAATCAATTTAAAAAAAAAACTGAAGTTATGTGAAATACCGCCATCTATTGGCTGTACTTTAAATCGAAGATTTTTTTAAATTTTGATTTGAATTAAACTGTTATGTCCTATGTCATATTTTCTTATATTAGAATATACTTGATAACAAAAGACATAGCAATGCAAAAAGTTTTGTTGAATAAGATTTGAAGTCATTCTTTTAACTATTTTTTTTTTAATTTAATTTATTTGCGTTGATGTAATATACTATGACACTCCTATAGAAGACCGATCGATTGACAACTCACTTGCCAAAATTGATAAAAAAGCCTTCAAAGAATACTAAAATATCGATTTCACTTGGCATCCACATATATGAACAATAATTGAAGCGCCAATAGCAAGATTAAGGGTACGGACTGCCTATTTAGCGATGGTGGGTTTGAATCCCATTGTTCGATTATTGTTGAAAACAAAACAAGCCTACTTTATACAGTTATAAAAACAAAAAACTCTACATACTTTTGAACGTTATTAGGACATAGTCTATTAATCAACACACAACCGAGACAAAATATTTACCTTATAATCCAAAATAGCAACCTCAAAGCGTGTTTGTTTAAGAATTACTATATAAGTATTTTGAAAGTGCATAGGTATGTAATATGACTAACACAGGAAATATGTTTAAATGTATTAATATCCTGACTATATCTGAACAAAATATTATGGATTATATGTTAAAATGTATCATCATCAGCTCACCATACATCCCCACTTAGGATAGGCTGACCCCAACCCCACTTAGGGTAGGGGTGAGCCTACCCTAAGTTAGAGGTGATTAGACCGTAGTCAACCATGTTGGCTCAGTAAGGGTTGATATATGTAAGTTATATAATATGACTCAATTGTGTTATACAATGCATTTCAATTTCAAATAGGAATGTCCATGAATCCGTCAGATGTCAATACTAAAAAATATAATTTACGAAATATTTTTTAGTTTTTAACCTAATTATGTAGAGTTCAAAACATAATGTTTATAAAGGTGGTCAATAATTTGCACATTCCGATTTGAAACATCATGGGATAATATTGTCCTAACAGATTGGATCCAGTCTACTCTAAATTAAAAACACTCCCAAACCCCTTCTATTGCATTCAAGTGGGGTTTTAGGGGGTCAAATCCCACATAACCCCGTCTTTCCTGCTGAAGGCCATGTATCTTTGGTAAAAAATGCCTTAGAATCACTCTGGCTTAGTGCAATTTGGTTGATTTCACACAAAAATTCAAATTCCTTTATCCGTGGTTTGCTTTTCATTTCAGCTGAATTAGGTGACTACAACGCGAATGAACACGGCAATGGATATCTCTCATCTCTTCGTTTACTAAACCGTCAATCCACGGAGGATGAGAGACGTATACGAGAATTACACAAGTTGCATCGTGGACAGTCACCCGCTGATGCTGAAGCTAACTTCCTAGAGCATGCTAAGAGATTGGACTGCTATGGTGTTGAATCACATCCCGCTAAGGTACTTTTCCTCTTTCAGTTTTGTAAGGAGAAGATATTTTTTCTTCATAATGTTTTAGTTGTATAGTTTACTAAGAAATTATATTTATTCAAATTTGATCAGTCTTGGCATAGTATTTTTAAACTATTTAGATCTAGATATCTAGTCTATCTTGAAATATATATTTCATTTTGTTTGAATTTTATTTTATTTTAACGCCATCTATTAGAATATTATCAAATCAAAAATTAAATAAAAGATTAAATAAGTTCCAGCTTGATACCTTCACGCGTTTTTGAGAAAAAGGATCTTGACAGACAGATGGGTGGACAACAAAGTGATCCTATAAGGGTTCCGTTTTTTGCGTTACGAGGTACCCTAAAAAGTGGGAAGTGTGTCAAGATCGTGTCAAATTGTCCGTGGCCTGCCCAACCTTCTGAGTTACAGGCTTGAGTTATATTGTTTGTAAAAAAACATAATATTTAAGATTATATAATATTTGAATTGAGAGCTTCGCGATATCTATATTTTTTGCTGATAATAAATAAAATTTGCAGGATTACAACGGAAAGGACATATTCATTGGCGTGACGTCAATCGGTATCGTCGTGTTTCAGAATACAATCCGCGTCAACACATTCTCTTGGAGCAAGATTGTCAAGATCTCATTCAAGAAGAAACAATTCTTCATACAACTCAAACGGGAACCTGTAAGTTGACTTTCATACATCATTCATCACACCCATACAAAAGTTCTTTATTAAATTATTAATATAATATTATTCACCAATGCTGGATAATTTAAAGTAATATATAATCTTAATAATATTATAAACACGAATGTTTAGATGTATGGATTGATGGATGTTTGTTTAAATACCGCGCGGATGAAGTCGCAGACGACAGCTAGTTATATTAAAGGTAAATATATTTGACAGGAAAAATATTATGATTATATAAAATATTTTTTGGAAATACCCATGCAAAATGCAAAATTTGACTTTTCCTTGAAGTAATCACTTATTGCTGCACTCACCGTTGGTTTCTAAGACCAAAATCGTCATGCCTGTCATTATCTTTGACAAAAATAAGTTTTAAACCATGCTTATAATAATAATAATACATACTGTTAAGCAGAAAATCCGACACTGTGCCGGTGTATCGGCGCAACACTAGCCTTACTAAAATATCAACGTTTATGTCCTCTCACTAATCAATCAGTGCTATAATGATTATAATTTTGTCTAAAAATAAGCAATATTTGAACAGTCGGAGTCTTACGATACGGTGCTGGGGTTCAACATGCAGTCGAGTCGTGCTGCCAAAGCCCTGTGGCGCTGCAGCGTGGAGCGGCACGGGTTCTTCAGACTGCGAGCTCCGCGCCGCCGGCCGCTGCTGGCGCTCACCGCGCTCGGCCTCACCGCGCCCACGCTCGCCCGCACCGAGACGCAGGCGCTGGAGGATGCTAGGCGATCTAGATCATCTAATAGGAGCTTTGTCAGGTAACACTACTCAATTTTTATAATATAACATAGTAAAAAAAAGAATTACGAAAATCGGACCACTAGGGGCAGAGTTATCGATGAACAAAAATTAAAAAAAAATAGACGAATTGAGAACCACCTCCTTTTTATCAGTTAACAAACAGTTGGGGTTTTGACAAAGTCCATTCGCTTCGAAGCTATTCCATAATAAAAACTTTATAAGTAGCCTGTGTATTCTTCCAGACTATGTTCTACATCTAGGATAAATTTCAGCGACATCTGTTGAGCCGTTCCGGAGATACCTTCATCAAAACTTCCATTCACGTAAACATTCACATTTGTAATATTAGTAAGAAGTAAGAAAAGAAAATACTAAAAGAATATATTGTTTATGTTTCTTCAGACGTAGCAGTTCCCGTACTCGTGAGCGATCGAACGGCGCGTGCGCACCCTCGCCCGCACTGACAGCACCGCGCGGCGCACGCGTCACGCACGACGAGCCCCCGCCCAAGCCCGCCTGGGGGGACCAGCCTGCTGATGAAGAGTCAGTCTTAAAACCTTACAATAAAGTCCTATTTTCTTTAAAAGTTTCAATTGATGCTAAATTAATATTAATACGCCATTGTTTCTCTACTTCCATTTTGTACGATTATTATTGGTACAAACTAAGCGCATTATTTTTTTGTTTATTATATAATATCCTAATTTGATTTTTTTAACTATCAAAAAAAAACTTCATTAGAATATATATGTGTTCTTCCTGCCTATGTTCTACACCTGTATAAAATTTCATCACGATCTATTTAGCCGTTCTGGAGATACCTTGTAACAAACATCCATCCATTTAAATTGTAATTTCTACTGAAATGTTTATATAATATAATAATTTACTTACATTCCTGTAAAAAATATAACTATATATTTCTAGTAATATTAAAATTGTCCTATTTTCAGAAGCGGTGGTGACATACTAGAGAGCGTGTTACGTGTCCCCCTCTCATACGCGGACGAGTCAGAGTCCTCGTCGTGTGGGGGAGGGGAAGGTGTGTGTGAGGGCGAGGACGAGGGTGGTGCGGGGGGCGCGGTGTGCGTGCGGCTGGCTGCGGGCGCGGACGGTCGCTTCGGGTTCAACGTGCGCGGGGGAGGGAACGCCCCCGTCCTAGTATCCAGAGTCGCTCCCCGGACTAGAGCTATGCTGCAAGAGGGGGACCAGGTAATTTAATATTTAATGCGATATTAAAATAGCGAAGAAATCGCTGCACATAGATCTTTTATAAGAGAGAATTGATTTTTGGATTCATAAGGAAATGAACTTATGAGGCCAATCGTTTTGTTATAGGATTTACGAAAAATCATCATTTTTCAATAACCACAAAAATTTATTTAATCTTGGTAATTTATTGTATTGTTAATTGCGTAACCCATTTAAAATTTTCACGTAATTTATATTCCAGGTGATGTCAATAAACGACAAAGATGTTGATGAAATGACTCACGACGAAGTTGTACAGATGATAAGAAATACCAAAGGTGTATTGACATTGATCGTTAAACCCAATGGTAAGTTTGTTGTCTTTTAAATAATATATAATGTAAATAAAAAGGTGAGGCCAGCTGAAGCCCACCCCTAAAAAATCGAAAAAATATGAAATAGATACTTAAAAAACTATTTTTGAATACCAAGATATGACAGAAAACTCAAAAACTACTTGTCAGTTTTTACCATTCCCTTACTAATAAGCGCCTTTGGAATAAAAAAATATTTATTTCCTACCTGCCCACGACCTTGAATCACAATGTTTTATTGACAGCGGTGTACTCAGCAGAAGAAACACTAGGCACAGAGGAACCAGAAGCATGTTTCGTGCCGCTGGTGGGGGGCAGTGTGGGGGTGAGGGCGGCGGAGCAGTCGCTGCTGTTGCTAGGCGACGGCCTGGCCTCGGGAGCTGCGCTGCGTCAGTACGAGGCTCTAGTACGTCGCCTTGACTACCCCGCCACTGCAGCGAGGCGACAGTGTAACCTCGCCAAGAATAGATACAGGGATATTGCGCCATGTTAGTACTTTCTTTTTTTATCGTTCCGTAAATCGAAAGGAAAAACGGATCCCTTATAGAATCACTTTGTTGTCTATCTGTCTGTCTGTTTAGACTCTTTTTCTAAGGAATGCGCGAAGGTATCAAGCTAGAATATCAAATACTCAGGTCTGATGTACCTTGGTGCTGTGAGAAAATCAAACTTCTAAACTAACGTAATCAAAAGATGCATTTATTTTTTAAAATCTCTGTTTTCGGTATTCCAGTGACTTAGGATGTAGTAAATAAAACTGCGTTCCTTTGTGTTGAAAAAGTAACAATATTTGTTGTTTTTATTGTTTTTTTTTTAAACCTTAAACTGCATTAGTTTGATAGAAGAAATATAAGTTGAATCTCAAAAGTGCTTTTTTAATACTTTGACACTGACATTGACAGTTCTTTCCAAGTTTACCACAGATCATGTAAACAAATTTAATTATATTTTTCTTTATATATTTAAAGTCTCAAGCTTCTATGAATGCGGCTTTAATTGAATTTTTTTACAGATGATTCTACACGTGTTGTGCTCAAGAATGGACCTACAGGCGATTACATCAATGCTTCATATATTAATATGGAAATACCCAACTCTGATATTATGTTAACATACATCGCTACACAAGGTAAATAACAATTTTATTGCAAAGTCTAAATGCGTAAACTAGAAATTTTGCTACATAAGTATGCATGGAGAGTTTTCTAATTTTGTCTCTAAAGGTCTAAAATAGGGGATGAAAGTGGGGAAGAAATATTTTTGATCGGCAAAATTACCTTTAATTTGATATATAATCGAACCAAAATAAGCGAGAGTTCAAGTGACCGCAATATTTTTCTGGCTTATAGACGTTTCTTTAACCCGAGTTTCTCACTTATGGTGTAGTCTGTGGAGACCGGACTATAACTATCGCTTATCCAGGTTCAACAATACTTTGTAGTGCAAATAATAAAAATCTAGTTCTGTATTTTTTAAAATGTACCCTATTAATGTTTAGAACTACGAATAAAAACTTGTGATGTGATAATTCCAAGACATTAAAAGTCAGGCGACGAAATTTTATCAAGTTTTATTAACACGCCGGTAACCTAGAAGGGTAAATAGAGACCTTGAACCTACATATTTTATTGAATAATTTCAGGTCCTTTAGCATCGACAGTGGGTGATTTCTGGCAGATGGTATGGGAGAGCGAGAGTAGCCTGATTGTAATGCTGACGGTGCTGGCGGAGCGCGGTCGTGCCAAGTGCCATCAGTACTGGCCCAAAGTTGGCACCGGACCCCTCAATGCCACAGACACCCTCACCGTAATCACACATAGTGAACACAATCTGGGACATTATATAAGAAGAGAAATGACTATTAAGGTTGGTACGGATTGCCTATCTTACTTATATTATATATGCTTATTTAAGATATATTTTTGACAGAAGGTATCTTCAGAACGGCTAAATGGATCTGTATAAAATTTAGCATACATGTAAAACATAGTCTGGAAGTAAAAACTGGCAATTAAATTGTTTTTCCAGCGGACGGAGTCCCGTGCAACAGCTAGTATTGTGTATACTGTTGGAAGAAATGTAGAAACATTATACATTTTTTATTTATTTATTTATTAACTCTTAATGCTATCATAATACATAAGAAAAAGACAATTAACTAATTTACAAAGCAAGGGCGGCCTTATACAAGCGATCTCTTCCAGGCAACCCAGTGGGATAACATAAGTACAATATTAAGCATTTTTTTTTGATGGCCTATAGTCTTAATGGCTAGACAGATATTAATTGGTGAGGTGTCATTAATTTTGTAGTCACGATCTTAATTTATTCCTAGTTATTCGCACTTTGTGTAGATTTAATATGAATATTCATAATGTAACAAATATATAATTATTTTAGGATGCAGATGGCGCGTCTCGCAACGTGACGCAACTCCAATACACAGCGTGGCCGGACCACGGCGTGCCGGAGGATGCTGCAGCGTTCATCTCTTTCACACAGCTCTGCTCCAAACTACGCAACCATAGAGCTGGTAAATAATGTCAAGAACAATTTTGAAATTAGTATGAAAAGTTACACCAGTAGAGATAGGCTTAGGATGGATGCATCATAATCCATCCATTCTAAGTCTAGAAAGTGTCATAATTTAGAAGGGAATGAAGACTGTTATGACGGAAGTAGATCAAATTGGAAAACGAAGTTGGGATAACGACAAGGAGATAGTAATATAGGTGCAAATTGATTTCATAATGTACTAGCTGTAGCTCGCGACTTCAGACTATGCTCTACATCTATGTCAAATTTACACATTCTAACAAACATCCATCCATATAAACAGTCGCATTTATAATGTTAGTAAGATTTATTTTTTAATATTGTTAATATACAACAGTGATGCCGAGGTCGGAGGAGGAGATGTGGGCGGAGGGCGTGGTGGGAGTGGAGGGCGTGGTGGGGGCGGAGGGCGTGGTGGGGGCGGAGCGCGTGGTGGAGGCGCCGCTGGTGGTGCACTGCTCGGCGGGCGTGGGGCGGACCGGCGCGCTCGTGCTGGCGGAGACCGCGCTGCAGCTGCTGCACACGCACCAGCCGCTCTACCCGCTCGACCTCGTGCGGGCCATGCGCGCGCAGCGGCCCATGTGCATACAGAATGCTGTCAGTACCTCCACCATATTACATCTCTCTCACTCACTCATCAAGAAATATGACGTTTTTTATATTCCCGAATTCTCAAATTCGCTGAAAAAGCCCCTGCCCATAGACATTTGCAATTGCAGATTCTTCACCATTAATTGAGAGAAGGAGACGCACAGAAAGAGAATTCTCTTCCCCTTACTAATTTCCTTATAAGAAAGGGTGGGGAAGGAAAAGGACTAAAATTAGGTCTCCGGAAGACACGCATCAGACAGGAATTACTTCCACTTGACACCTGTCTTCTGTGTCGTCAAGTTGACCCTGGCTGGTTGCTGGTGTCTATTGTATGTTTTACTAAATAATAAATATATAACTTTTGTTCACAGAGTCAATATAAATTCGTATGTGAGAGTATACTTGCCGCCTACGCACAGGGTCTGACTAAACCTGAACAAGAACAGAACTGATGGTCCGCCTTGCCGCGACTCTGCTGCATAAACTTTAACCTGTTAGTGTAGTGTGTCATTAGTTTAGTGAAAATCTACTTTAAATACAATCTTTTATAGTATATTTCCACTGCAGTTATACTTGTATTGATATATTGTCTCTGGTAGTCAAAGATGACAGATACAAGTATCCGCAGCGGTTACATGATGTTCATTTTTGTATTTATTTTGTATAGATTACTTTTAAAAGATAACTTGCCAGTAAATCTCATATAATTGTTAATGTCTTGTATGTATGGAGTTTTTAAATGTTATTCCGGTTTTTTTATATCATAAGGTGGAAAACGAGCGACCGGCCACCTAAAATCACTGAAACAGAAGTGACAGTTGCCCATGGACACACGCAGTTGCATATGCGTTACCTACCTTTAATCGATGGAGGGGAGGATGCACAGAAAGAAAATATCTTCCCTTTCCATGCATCCTCTCATCCGGAAAGTCCATTTCCACTTCCCATCCTTATAAGAAAAAGTGTGAGAAGTGAAAGAGGACTATATAAGGCGTCCGGGACGAACACTCATCAGACTGCACGCGGAATAGCTTCCACTTGACGCCTGTCTTCTGTGTGGTCGTGGTATTTCACCGGGCTGGTCCGGCCAATTCGTGCGAAGATGTTAAAGCGGGCTCTACCACTGTTCTTACAAACACATATCCTGTTGCAAATAGCAAAGGAAATGGTACTACATTTTCTATTGGATACTGTTTATACCCATTTTAAATGCTCTGTAGTACAATGTATTTTGATTTTGAGAATTATTTTATGTATGAAGTTAGCTCCAGGTTAAAATTAAATTTGTGTGAATACGTAAAATATACTCTATCTCGCTCTCTGGTATACGTTTGTCTCTTTCTTGTGCTAACTTCATACTGCAGACAGACAGTAAGGTTTGTTTGTGTATTCGCTCATCAGCTCACTGTACGTCCCCACCGAGGGGCTCGGAGTCTACCCTAAATCAAGGGTGAGGGTTTGTGTATTATTTAGATAGAATTCAATGTATTTTAATAAATTTTGTATACAGTAATAGTATAGGATGAAATAAATTAACATCAATATGCTATAAGAATTAGAATAATTAAGAAAGTGTGAATATAAGTTAAGTGTAACTAAACGCAATAGTATTTTTTTTTCTTAAAGTCGGTTTCCACTGATGAAACATCTGTACAAAGTTATTGTCATCTTTTTCTAAAATCTACTCTTTGAAAAAGTTTTTTTGTGTGTTTTGGTAGTGGAAGCCTACTTTAATGTTTTCAACTTATTGTTGAGTTTGTTTTGTTTAATCTATAATTCAGTTTAAAGCAAACTGTAAGAAATGCTGTAAAAATATTATCTTCATTTTTTCTTTTCGAGATTTTTTTTAGAAATTACGTAAATTTGCAGATTTTTTCAATTCGATCAAATCAGTCAAGTTGGCATTAAGACTTAGGATTTTTTTTAAAAAGAGAAAAAATTAACTGTGAAATTTTTTTATGAAGTCAGAATTAGACAACATTGTTTATTTTTCTGAATTTTGTTTTAATTTGTAAAAGTTTTTTTTTTCTAAAAATCCTTTAGACTAGACCGACATATCAATTACGACCTAGTTCCCTTAAGATATTTATTTTCTATCCTGTTTTAATTTATTACTAGATTTAGTGTTTTGTAAAGCGTTTATTCTGTGATTCATCACCAGTTTCTAGATCTAGTGGAAGGTGCTTGCCTTTCGACGACGAATTTAATAACTTAATAAAAAAAAACTAATATAATTTTTCTGTATTTTTGTATGGATTTAAATTTATTTTTTGTTCGACTACCCGCATCGGTTTTGCGGTTTTTTAACTATTTATTTAAATACACGTTCTTTGTATAAATTGTTTGTAGTTTTATTCTACCCTACCCTTTACCTCTATATCTACCCACAATAATCCAATAATGCTGTTTTCCTCGTAAAAAAAATTTGATGTTTTTTTTCAACGCAATTTTTTTTGTCTCCTAAAATTTTTACCAAAATCTGACGTTAAAATACACTTACTAATATTATAAATGCGAATGTTTAGATGGAAGGATGTTAGTTTGAAGATATCTCCAGAACGGCTGAAAGGAACTCGTTGAAATTTGGCATAGATGTCGAGCATAGTTTGGAAGAACACATGCTATTTCTTAAGTTTTTTTATAATTCCACGCAGATGGAGTAGGCATCAGCTAGTAATATTATAAATGGGAGTGTTTGGATGGATGGATGTTTAAAGATATCTCCATAATGGCTGAGCGCATCTCGATTAAATTTGGCATAGATCTAGGAGTATACTCTCGAAGAACATATAGGGTACTTACGTTTTTTTTTTAATTACTCACATGTACCAATATATACATGGTGTTTTAATTTTATACGTGAGATATCTATGTTAGATGTACACAACTACATACTGTATATGATGAAGGCAGAAAGATAGATGGGCGCTCATAACGTAATTTTGTCTTTGTTGAATCGTTTGTGATCTTTTTAACGTTTCAATCGGCAGTTTGTTATTATAAAATGTTTGAATTGGCAAGAGGTCGGTCTTTGTAGACGTGTTTTATAGCCCATCTCGCGGTTTCATCGCTTCGCCATGCTGTCGAAACGTCTTTTATCTGACAGAATTAGTATCATATCGTGGCAATTGTTACCACGTCTTTAACTTAAAAGACTGAGTTGTAATCAATTAGTCTGATATCACTACGCTTCAGATTAGCTATTTATGTTATACAAGTATTGGAAAATATCTCATAGGTTAGGAAAAAACCATGATATTATCATATTGGGAATTATACGTTAAAATTAAGCTTCCTTATATTAATCTTATCCTTAATTAACTACTATTGATTACTAATTTAATCAAGTCGTATCATCCTAATTGGTAGGATAAAACCATAGATAATATAACCTACAGATTCTTACATACCTAATCCCGAACATGAAAGTAAGGCGAAAATCCGTAGACATTTTGTTGGAATAATTCCCTCAGTGTTGTAAATTACAAAAAAAAATGATATTTTAAAAATCGATTCTATTAGACGACAAACTTATATGCTACACACTAGAATAGGTTATATAAAAGGCCGGTTTTAGCATCTTTGGCGCCCTGGGCGAGATTTTTGCGGCGCCCCCTTTTTTGGTGTCGAAGGCAAATCTTCCACAGATAGGCTTAGAGGGCGCTGGTGCCCCTTTATATTGTACTGTGGCGCCCCTTACGTTTGACGCTCTGGGCGATCGTCCTACCTCGCCCTACCGTAAATACACTACTACGTTACTGGTTATATTTATGGCTCAAAAGTTTAATTTTAAAAATATATTAGATATAAAAATCCTTTATTACAAGCTTGTTCAAAACACATCGTTCTAAAAGTATAACAATGTAAAAGAAACCATAGACATTCTCAATATAATTCACTTATTCTTTCTGCTATATATTTCAATATCGAATATCTGAAATAATTTAATAAAAGATATCGTCATAGCAACGTTAGATTGTAACACACCTGGCTTCTTTCGTTGTAATAACCTCGAATAAAAATCTGAATTGCTTTTTAAAAGACGGCATAAATTGTTAATTTTACAATAAAAAATTTAATTATACTCTCCTAGGGCTTTCCTTTTTTTAAATAACGTAATGATTCCGAACATGTTCGATAATAGTTTTCGCTCAATGTTTGAAATTCGAACAAAATTTACATATATTTTTTTAATTAAAAATAGGTTTATACACTTCCCCATATTAACTTTAACAATGTCTAAATTCTAGTTTAACCTTCCGCGCAATTTCTTTAAAAATGGGGTACAAACCTACATAAGCGAGAGTCCAGTGAACCGCAAAGTATCTCGCTAATAGAGGTTTCCCTCTATCCCGAGCTTTTCGCTTAAAAACGTCGTCCACCGGGAAGGGTCAATGTCTCGCTTATAAAGGTTTCTTTAACCCGAGTTTCTCACTAAAGAAGGTCGTCCGTCGGAAAAGGACAGTGACTGTCTAGATCAGTCTTTCCCAAAGTGGACGATAACGCCCCCTTGTGGGCGCTGCAGGTCTCAGGGCGGTAAGAGACCTAGAAAGAAAATGGGGGCGTTGTGTAGAGGCCTGGGGGATTTAGAATTCTCCGTTAATATATAGGTCACAATAATTAATTAATTTAATTTGAAGTTATAGTGGTTTTTAAATATGTGAAAAAATGGGGACGCTAAAAAAATATTTATTCTCAAAGTGGGCAGTAGACAAAATAAGTTTGGGAACCACTGGTCTAGATGTTTCTCGCTTACCCAAGTTAGACTGTTTCGACTGTACGTAGACGTAATATACATTACTATGAATTTTGTATAACCTTGTTAATACTAGTGTTTGATTTACTAATATTCAAGTCGCTCGGGCCGGTAAAAACAAACAAAGCAACAATAATAAATAAAGTTTCAATAACCTTGATTCAAGTATGTTAGAGCTACAAATGTTTGATGACTTTGTATGATGAACTAAAGTACTAAATATTTTGCTATCTCTATTATTTTAAAGGAATTAATAGGGATAGTGATATGTTTTATAACATTCGACAGTGGAAACGGACGATTGGGTCTAATAAGTTCGGCAAATATTCGACAAATCGGTTGAAAGCCGACTCTACTGCACTACAGACGTTTAACCACATACCTATTAGTTGTGATATATTTTGTCTCGCGGATAAAGAGTTACAGTTTGTTTAAAAAATACAATATTTAAAAGGAAATCAAAAGGCCTATTTAACGTACAATTTTTTATTATGTCTAGTGTTTATCAAATCACTTTAATTTGAACACAACATAACACAATGCGATTCATTTAACTTAAAAAAAAACATTTCCAATAATTGGTAAAAACCCAATTAACACATTTGTGTCGCCGTCACCTCCGCCGGAGATGACGGACAGAAGTGTTCAG